AACTGAAATTATAGAGTTTTAGGAACAGAAAGAAAAAAGATGGAAGAAAAGTGAACAGAGCTTATGGGACCTGTGGGACCCCATCAAGCCAATCAACATATGCATTGTGAGAGTCCCAGAATGAGATGAGAGAGAGAAAGGGGGTAAGGGGTTATTTCAGGAAATAATACCCCAAAGACCCCAAACTTGATGAAAGACATGAATATAAATATTTAAGAAGCTCAATGAACTCCCAGTAGGGTAAACTCAAAGAGATCACAACCAAAGCATATAATAATAAAACTGTCAAAAGCCAAAGAGAGAATCTTAAAAAATAGGAAGAGAAAAGCGACTTGTCACATACAAGGGATTCTCAATAAGATTATCAGCAGATTTCTCATCAAAGACCTTGGAGGCCAGAAGGCAGAGGGTTGATATATTCAAACTTGTAAAGGAAAAAAACTGTCAATGAAGAGTCCCATATTCGGCAAAACTGTCTTTCAAAAGTGAGGGAGAGGCCGGGCGCGGTAGCTCACGCCTGTAATCCTAGCACTCTGGGAGGCCAAGGCAGGTAGATTGAGCTCAGAAGTTCAAGACCAGCCTGAGCAAGAGCGAGACCCCGTCTCTACTAAAAATAGAAAGAAATTAATCGGATAACTAAAAATATATAGAAAAATTAGCCAGGCATGGTGGCACATGCCTATAGTCCCAGCTACTCGGGAGGCTGAGGCAGAAGGATTGCTTGAGCCCAGGAGTTTGAGGTTGCTGTGAGCTAGGATGACGCCACAGCACTCTAGCCTGGGCAACACAGTGAGACTCTGTCACAAAAAACAAACAAAAAAAAAAAGTGAAGGAGAAATTAAGAGTTTCCCAGATAAACAAAAGCTGAGGGAGTTTGTTACCGCTAGTTCTGTCCTGCAAGAAGTGCTAAAGAGAGACCTGCAGGTTGAAATGAAAGGACGCCGAACATTAACACAGTAACTCAAAGGCATATGAACAAGTAAAGATCTCTAGTAAAGGAGAATGGACAATGGACAATTACAAAAGCTAGTTTTTTTGTTTTCTTTTGTTTTTACAGATAGGCTGTCACCTAGGCTGGAACTGGGCTGGAGTTCAGTGGTACAAACATAGCTCACTGCAGGCTCGAACTCCTGGGCTCAAGTAATCCTCCTGCCTTAGCCTCCCGAGTAGCTGGGACTATAGACACACACAACCACGTCCAGCTAATTTTTCTAACTTTTTTGTAAATACAGGGTCTCACTGTGTTGCCCAGGCTGGTCTCAAACTCCTGGCCTCAAGTGATCCTCCTGCCTTGGCCTTCCCAAGTGCTGGGATTGCAGGCATGAGCCATCATGTCCAGCCTCAATGTAATTCTTATACTTGCTACTCTATAGGTCAGGTATATTTTTTCCTCTGGCTTCTTTCAAGATTTCTCTTTGTCTTTAATTTTCTGCAATTTGAATAAGATATACCCTTTGTTTTTTTTGTAGATTTTTTGGTATTTATTCTGCTTGGTGTTCCCTGAACTTTCTGGATCTGTGGTTTGTTGTCTCTCATTAATTTCATAAAATGTTCAGTCATTATTGCTTCAAATATTTCCTCTGTTGTTGTCTCTCTTCTCCTTCTCGTATTCCCATTATGCATATATGTTACATTTTTGGTAATTGTCCCTGAGTTCTTGGATATTCTGTTCTTTTTGTTCGCTTTTTTCTTTGTATTTCACTTTTGGACATTTCTGTTGATATTTCTTCAAGTTGAGAACTAAAAATCCTAAGCCCCCAACCAACTGAACAGACCCCCTCTTGGCCAAAAGAACCCCAGAGAAACCTTAAACACTGAGTTCCTGGCCATGTTGGGACAGCATTTTGGACATGCCTCATCATACCCTCTCCCTTTTGCAGTTTAGACACAACAACTGAGCAGCATTAATGTTAACATGGAGATCATAAGACTGGCGGAACGGACTCTTTCCCGCAACAAGATGCCAACTTATACACGAGACCTAAGGTAAAGATTAAGTCACGCCAACAAGATGCCAACTTATACACGAGACCTAAGGTAAAGATTAAGTCACGCACCCCTATATTTAAAGAATAAACTATGTTCTAACTGCCACAAGGTTTTTCTTTTCCTCTCTCACCTAAACAAGCACTGGCTGGGAGATGAGCTGTATTGAAGCAATTGAAGCTCATCCACCACCAGACGCTAACTGGCCCCTGTTCCACAAGCTGTAACTACAGCTTGGGTTGGATAAGAGATGCATTTCAGTGACTGTCTCCTGTTAAGAGACCACTGACCATGGACTGGTTCTGGTCAGTTTTACAGAGGCTGTGACTGGGTGACTGAATGTCCCTGTTTCGCCTTCTGATGTATAGCGCCTAATTGTAATACATTTCAATGTTAAGTCTCCATCCCAACATGGGATGCAAGTAATACACTGTTTGCTTGCCACATGTGTGTGAGAACCCTTTTGTGAATATTCATAGCTTCTCCTACTGTAACCTGTTGAATATGTATGTTTAGCTAACCCGTTCTGCATTAAGCTCCTTCCCCAACCTCTCCTCCTTCAAAGTGCCTGCCTCTGGATTTGGCCAGAGGCCTGCTTGCCAGCCTACAGGTTGTAACTCTTTATAATAAATAAAATTCTCCTTTTCTAAATGTATAGATCTCATGTTGTTTTGTTTTGTTTTGTTTTGTTTTGTTTGAGACAGGGTCTCACTCTGTTACCAGACTAGAGTGCAGTGGCGTCAGCCTAGCTCACGGCAACCTCAAACTCCTGGGCTCCAGCGATCCTCCTGCCTCAGCCTCCCCAGTAGCTGGGATTATAGGCATGAGCCACTGTACCCTGCCTAGATCTCATATTTTTAAGTCGACAAAGTTCACCCCTTCTTTCCTTGGCCAAGTGTTAGTCTACTGATGAGCCCATCAAAGACATTCTTCATTTCTGTTACAGTGTTTTTGACTTCTCACATTTTCTTTTGATTCTTTCTTAGAGTTTCCATCTCTCTGTTTTCATTACCCATCTGTTATTTCATATTGTCCACTTTTCCCATTAGAAACCTCTGCACATTAATCATAGTTGTTTTATATTCCTGGTCTGAGAATTGCAACATCTCTGCCATATCTGACTCTGTCTCGTCAAACTGTGTTTTTCATTTTTAGTATGCCTTGCAATTTTGTTTTGAAAGCTGGACCCTGTGGTGTGATCATAGCTCACTGCAGCCTCAAACACCTGGCTCAAGCGATCCTCCCATCTCAGCCTCCCAACTAGCTGGGACTATAGGCATGCCACCATGCTTGGCTAATTTTTAAAAATTTTTTTCTAGAGACAGGGACTCGCTATGTTGCTGAGGCTGGTTTCCAACTCCTATCCTCAAGCAATCCTCCCGCCTCGGCCTCCCAAAGTGCTGGGATTACAGGTGTGAGCACTACCACATCTGGCCAGATTTTTAAACTCTCAAACTTGTCTACAGTGAACAAACTGAAAATCAACAAATCTTTTTAGATCCATTAGATCAATGACCGTTTACGTTTTCCTACCCTGGTATTGCTTCCCACAGCAGTTTCTGCTCTGGCAAGTTGTATGCACCTGTCTGTGTCTCCAACTTTTGAAGCAGTGGTTTGCCCTGTGACCTCAATTCTCTTATGAATCTAAGAAGAGTTGTTGATTTTCAGTTTGGTCAGCATTTTTTCTTGTGTGGATGAGAGTGATGAGTTCCAACCTCTTTACATGCCAGACCAGGAAACCAGAAATCCAGATATGTTTTTGGTTCTAGGATTTCCATTTTGCTGGGATATTGTTTTTAAACTTTCCATGGTTTCAATCACTACAGCAATCTTTTTCTGTAGAACTTTAATATATGTATTGTAAAGCACTTTTCTGTTGATTCCATTATCTAGAATTATTTGTGCATCTGTTTCCATTGACGGAATTTTTTCTCTCGAGTATAAGACTTGCCTGTTACTTTGCATGTCTAATACTTCACGGACAATGTGTTGTACAGACTGCGGATTCTGCTGGCATTCTCTGAAGAATGATGGCTTTTGTTCTCTAGGTAGTTTAATTACTGGAAGATCACCATGAACTTGTGGAGGCTGGGCTTTAAGTCTTACTAGGATGGATATACTTTGATTTTGCCTTTAGTCCTAGGGCAGATCCCTTATTTCTGGAACACAGTGTTGACTCCCAAGGTGTGGCCCTTTTGGGGTGTCAGTGGAAATCGGAGGCATTTACCAAGCTTCTCTAACTTACGAATTCCAAACATCGTCTCCCCAGAAAAGACAGCAAATGAACATCTTCTCAGCTTTTTCTGCCTTCCAGCTCTTTGTCTTCCTCCCTCCTCAGACTCGTGTCCACCCGCGTGCGTGCAGGTCAAGGTCAGCCACGCAGTGGAGGGGAATGTATAGCTTCAGGCTCCTCCCCCACTGTGGCTCCAGACTGCCGCATCTCACCCCGGATTCCCAGCTGCAGCGCGGGCCCCAGCTCCTCTCGGAGCTGATAACCTGTGGCTTTCCGTCTGAGACCGTCTGGCTGGAGAGAGAGCCCCTGGGGGAAATGGCTTTTCTTCCGAGAACCCCCTCCCCTCCTGCTGTTCCTCCCTCTCCCGCGCCTTCAGACACATGGCCGCCCCTTTCTATTTTGTCCACATTTCACAGTGCGCGATGATTCTGCAATTATTGGAACCTTTTGATTTTGAACCTGTAACCAGATTACCTATTCAAAGAGTGAACTACTAAAACGAAAGCAAGCAAAGTGAATGAAATGTTAGGACCCACTGTAAAGGCAGACAGTTCTTTGACTTTACGGTCAGAGGGCGCCTTCGGAGTGACCCAGGTGCGGGGCGGCCGCAGACCCCCCCCCCGCGCGCCCAGGCCCCGCCCCTGCCGCCAGCCCCGCCCGGCCCCGCGCGCGCCCAGACCCGGCCCCCCGGCCCCTCGGTCGCGCCCGTTTCCGTGGCGACGCGGCGCCAGCCCGGGGCAGCCCGGCCACCGAAGGGACGTGCGTCGGCGGCGGCGGCGACATGAGCGGAGCGGCGGTGGCAGCCGGGGTGAGGCCCCACAGCTCGGCGACCCCGGGCTCCCGAGGCGCGTCGCGCCCGCGCCAGCGCCAGCCCGCGGGCCCCGCGCTCCTGGGACCGCAGCCCGCGCAGCCGGGACACGGCGACGCGCAGAAGCGGGTCGTGGACCTGGAGAAGAGCCTGCAGTTCCTGCAGCAGCAGCACTCGGAGACGCTGGTCAAGCTCCACGAGGAGATCGAGTACCTGAAGCGGGAGAACAAGGGTGAGTCGGGCCGCCCGGACCGCGCCGGCCGAGGACGCGGGCCGCAAGCCCGGCGCCGGCCCGCCGCACCGCTCTCCCGCCCGGCACGGAGACCGGGTGGCCGTGGGCGCCGCCCTCCCTGTCGCCCGTCCCGCTGGGCAGTGTCACTTCGGACGTTGGCCCGCCAGCCCTCTCTAGGCGGGGTCAGGCCCACGTCGTTATTAAGAAACTTAGATAAGCGCGACGGAGCCGAACGGGCGAGGGCGCGGCTCGGCGAATTCCTGCCACTAGACACGAGCGGACAGCGGCCCGGCCCCTGCGCCCTGTGCCCGCACCCCCGGGCCTCCTCGCTGACACGCCTCGCTCCTCACCCCTGGGCCCTCCGAGACCTGCCGCGATGTGACCGCGCCTCACTCCGGCTTCAGCTTCCGCGGGAGCTCCGCCGCCCGGGCGCTGTGGCTGCTGCCTCAGTTTCTCCCCGCCCCTGCTGGTGCTGCCTCACCTGAGTGCCAGTATCCCTTCACTGGCCATCCGCTATGCCGGGACCCCTTCCCCAGGCCGGACTTGGCCAGCCGGGTCCCCAGACGCCACTTGATTAGTACACTGACTGCATTTGCTCCTGTGGTGCCGCGGGCTCCAGCAGGGCTGGGCCCTCCCAACTCACCTCTGCACCCCTGGAGCCAGGCCTGGGGGCGCCCTGTAGTCGTCTCAGCCGTGGGGCGGGGGAGGACAGACTTGAGTGCTAGGCGGGGGGACCGCCAGCGACGTTCCTGTCCTGGACGCCAAAGGCAAAGGCGCGGTGGAGAAAGCTAGCGGGACTCAAGGGGCGGGGCCACGGACCAGGCTTCTCTGAGTGGCTACGGCTTTGCTTTGAAAGTGGTAAGCACAGCATGTGTTTTGCTTTTAGATCTCCACTACAAGCTCATAATGAATCAGACGCCACAGAAGAAAGGTGAGCATGAGGCCCTTCGGTGCGGCTGGGAAGTCGCCCCATGCACAGCAGCAACTCCCCACACTGCCCACCCTGGCTGCACTGGCTCCCAGTGCTAACCCAGCGGGGATGGGTTTGAGGGACCTGGACAGATGCCATTGTCCCCCAGCCTTGGTTGGGTAACTTTATGCACCCAAGCACAGCAGGTGCTGCACTCAGTGAGCCCAAGGCCTGAGGCCTGTGCAGTGGCCGGGGTGGGGGACAGAGCACCTGGGGGGCGCTGCCAGACCCCCTCCCCGCATCTGAACAGAGCTCCTAGAACAGCCCCTGCCCTCCTGGGTCTCACTTCCCTGCTGGGTGCTCTCACTCGAGGGCTGCTACCACGGCTCCCAGTGCCCCAGCCTGTGCCTCTGAGTCCTTACGCCCTGCGCGAGGTTGCTCTGGGCACACTCTTTCCACCGGTAGCTCGTTTCTTGCCACCTCCTCGGCAACCACAGGCTGGGGTGGGAAAGGAAGCAGAGACTCAGAGACCTGCAGCCACTTGTCCAAGACACTTTCTCATCCTGATGACGGTGGCTCCCTGCCCAGCCCAGGGACACCTGTTGGGTTCTTGGGCTCACTCTCCCCGTCACTCTGGGGCCAGGTCTGACTTCATGGGGCCTGACTGGCGAACAGGGCCAGCCTGGGTGGTGCTCAGGGCTCTCTTCCTGGGGTACACGCAGAGAATGGGATGGGGGGAGGACCCTTCTCCAGTGGGTGTGGCAGCTCCAGTGAGCTGTTCTGAGCAAAGTGTGGCCCAAGTTAGTGGTCCCAGCCCTGCAGTGCCTGGGGACCCTGTTGGGACATCAGAAAAAGTCATGCTCATTCAGGACCTGCTGCTACACTGGTCTCAAGCTCCCTGCTGAGTGGCCCCCCAGGAAACCACCTTTCTGGTGGCCTCTGCTTGCTGAGTCCAGGGCTGCCTCAACAGAGCATGGGGTACAGCGGGAGGACACAGCCCTACCAGGTTGAGGGGAGGCTCTGCACGAGTGCACAGGGCCCTGCAGAGCTGCCAGCTGGCCCGCGTGCTCCCCACAGGCAGCCTCTCCACTTCCAGCTTCCATTCCGCCAAGTCCGTGTCGAACTGGACGGTGTCAGGTGAGCGGGCATCCTCCCCTGCTGGGGTCCCAGGCCTGGGTGGCCAAGGGTGCTGACTAGGGGGCTGAAAGCCACTGCTGGGCAGACTGAAAGGTGGGTTCTGTGGGCTCAAAGGGTGAAGGGGTGGCTGAAGGGAGGCAAGGGATGCCCAGGTACCTGCAAGCTGATGCCGCAGGAGGGCCAAGGTGGGCTGGAACAGGACTGTGGGCTGGCAGGAGGGAGGCCCTGAGGTGAGGCTATGAAAGCAGGACAGGAGCTGGCTTTCAACGTGGGGCAGCAAGGCCAGGGGGAGACCCACCCTGGGGCAGGGCAGCAGGCAGTCAGGCTGTGGGGGCGGGCTGCTGAGTGCCCACTGAGCCTCAGGTGGTCTCCCAGGGAGAAGGATGTGCGCCAGCTGCCCCCAAGTAGGCAGGATGCAGGGCGTGGCCCTGCCCACGTGGCCCTGGGCTTGTGGCATCTTTTGCAGAGCGAGCTCGAGCCTCTTCTCCCCACCCTGCCTTCCCCAAGAAGCCCAGCGTCCTCACCAGTGGCGGCCCCACCTTTTCTGTGCAGGGCCAGGTGGGCGGTGGGCCTTGTCCTTGGAGAGTGAACGAGGGCAGGCCGGGTCCCAGGCCTCTCACACAGGTTCATTCTACCCACAATGGGCGCCGGCTTCCACCACTGACTGAGCATGCAGCAGGCACCGCCCACGGGCCGCACCCTCACAAGCTCAGGGAAGGGGCTGCTTGGGCCACACAGTCAGTCCTGGGGACTTGGACAGAGCTTCTGATGCCTGTGGTGACTGGCCCTGTTGGGTCTGACCTGCAGCCAACTCTCAAGCCAAGGTCAGGCCTCAGCCCAACTTCTTCAAGAAGCAAGACCCCAAGGCTGATGTCCCCCAGAAGGCGGACCTGGAGGAGGAGCCCTCCAGCGCCGCCCTCCTGTACGGTGGCAAGCTGGACAGAGCTCCGGGGGCACAGAGGCAGGCCAGGTAAGGCTCACACGTACCCTGAAGCCAGGCCTACATGTAACAGAGTCCCACCCTGGCATCTGCCAACTGCTTTGCCCTTTGCTCCACGGGCCTGTTTCCGATGGGACTAAGGCTCGTGAAAGCAACGACTGCCAGGCTCCACCCATCCGGTGGGTGCTGTCTTCCTCCCCTCCCCTAGGAGTGTGCTGACCTGAGCCCCTAAACCACTTTCTCAGAGAAAAGAAACAAAAAGTAATCTTTTTTACCAAGAAAACAGTGAGTCAGGCTCCTGGGCCTGCAGCTCCCAGCTGCACCTGCCTTTGGAAGGCACTGATCCAGCAAGATAGCCAGGCTAGGCTCTGGTGACCCCCGAGCTTCCAGAAACTGCCCTGGGACACTGCAGAGTGCACACTTGGGGTAGTACATGGAGCAGGACAGGCTTCTCTGCACAGCCCTAGCATTCTCCGAGACCAGCCTGAGATGCTTGAGAACCAAGGGCAGCCTGGCAGCTAGCTAGCTGCTTACCCTCTGAACCACATCTGACCCTCAGTGCACCTTCAGAGGGAACAAAGGGATGGGTGGGCCCAGGTCACAGCTGGCCCCAACAACACCCACCTGGTGCCCAGAGCACCCTAGTCAGCAGAAGAAGGGAGCCCAGCCCTCTTCCCCACACTGGCCTGGGGAGGGGTGGGTGATTAGGCCAGTCCAGGCAGGTCACCTCTGGGGTACAATGACCATTTCAGAAATGAGGAAGTGGACACCTTTAACTCAGGGGCCACCTGGGCAGCAGGCAGCCAGCCCAGGGGCAGGCAGGCAACAGGGGCACCCCCCTCGATGAGCCTACCCTCATGCCTGTGCAAGCTCACAACGCTTCAGCAATGCGAGGTGGTCATCCGTCAGCTGTGGAACACCAACCTTCTGCAGGCCCAAGAGGTGAGGCCCTGGGCAGAGGTGGCCCTGGGTGGCCCTGGGTGGCCCGGCACCTCCGCAGGTGCACCTCCATCCCCCTCCCCTGCCTTTCAGCTGCAGCACCTCAACTCCCTCCTAGAGGAGAGCCAGAGGCACAAGGCTGCCCTTGAGGAGCCCGGGCCAACTTCTCCCAAGTGAGTGCCCAGCACCCCACCCCACCTGTCCCAGCAGGGCCTGTCCAGGGCTCACTGTTGACCCTTCCTTCACCCAGGGACCAGGAGGCCATGCAACTCCCCAAGGTCTCTAGCAAGAACCTCTCTAAGAAATGGTGAGTACCCCGCACGGGGGATGGGGTGTTCCCCGCAGCCCAGTACTGGCAGGGAGTGGGGCTCAGAGCAGAGCCGGCCACGGCCTTGCTGGGCCCCATCCCAGTCAAGTCCCCACTTCTGAACAAGCTCGAGGTGACCATGCCTCTACTGCCACAGCCTGGTTCTGAGCCCGACGCCTGTGGCAGAGCGCTCCATCCTGCCTGCACTGAAGCAGGCGCTGAAGAGCAACTTTGCCGAGCGGCAGAAGAGGCTGCAGGTGGTGCGGAACCGGCGCCTGCACCGCTCGGTGTTCTGAGGTCGCCTGGCACCTGCCCTTGGCCAGGCCTGAGGACCTGCAGCCGAAGAGACGAGCCCTCTCCACATCGCACTTCCAAAGGATTCTGATGCTTTTAAGCCAAGCTAAAGTCCAAGCTAAACAAAACTCATGACAGATAAAGTGCTTGACCTCCAAACTGTAGAACTGTTATTTTCTTGCTATTATTTTGCTATTCTGCATATACTCAAAAGCACATTACCCTCCCTGTTGAAGACTGAAAATACAGCTGTTTCTCTCCAAGCTGTGCATCTCCTTCCTCACTGGCTACCCAGTGTTGCTTCCCAGCCCTTGGTCCCTAACCCGGCTCCCTGGTAGTCTGGACGGAACCTGCCTGGGCAGCGGCTCTTGCTCATCCTGGGACCTGGCAGCCGCCCTGGATGAGAAGCGTCAGCAAAGCCACATATGCCCTGCCTGGAAGCAGGGTGGCTTTCCTGGGCCACTGGCTGGGCCGGGAGCTGCCTTCCAGGAACATGGTCACTGAGTCTCCTGCCCAGACTGGCCACTCCTGGGGGTAAGACGCTGTCCTCTCCTGCCTTGAGACTCAACAATGCTGATGAGTGGTCCAGCAGAACCAGCCTTCCTCCGTGGAGCACCACGGCAAAGGGAGGACTGTCATCTCCAGAATGCTGTGTCCAGGCCCAGCCCACCCCCTGTCACCAGAGCAGCTATGTTCATTGTCTGGGGGTGGCCAGCTCAGTGCCCACCCTCGCCTGGGTAGCACAGTGCTCCAGCCCCAGGGCCCCACGTCCTTGGCACGTCTCGGCCTCATCTTGCTTTGAGGAGCAGGAACTGTGCCGGGAACCTGGGGCATGGGCCAGGCTGAGGAATAATGGGACAGTGTGTCAGGTAAGGGGAGCTGAGGTCTGGGGTGTCCAGGGCCAGACTGGACACTGCCACCTCCAAAGCTGACAGCATCTCTGACAGGACAGCAGGCCCCAGACTCACGGAGAAGAGGACGCAGTGATGAACTGACAAACACAGGAATAATAAATTTATTATAAGAACCACAGATGATGGGGTAGTGCACATAAAAAGGGAGCCTCTCATGACCAGAGGGCTGCTGGCCGCTGCCCAGAGGCAGGCAACACAGGGCGGCGCTGCACCGCCCCAGGGCCCCGTCCCAGCCGGGAGCCCAGCCCTGGAGTGGCGCAGAGCGTAGGAAGCTCTGATGATACTGGGCCCCGAGGACATCGCTCTTCATCCTTCACAGCAGGACACGGCACCTGGACCCAGGAGTGGCACAGGGGTGCCAAAGACAGGGTCCTGATGCCCCTCTCCTGGGCTACCCACAGTGCTGAGCAGGAACGCCATGAGGTCTGAGGCCAAGCTGGTGGCCAGGAACAGGCAGCCGCCCGCAGGCCCCCTCCCTCTGAGACGCAGCCCGCACCCCAGACCAGGAGCCCCCCTTGCAAGAGCAGTGCAGCCTGAACCCAAAGCCGCGTGTGTCTTAAGGTTTCCTGTGTCTTCCACATTCTCCTATAGAAACGAGTGGAAGTGTGTTCTAGCACACGCACAAGACACTCTGACAAGACCCTGAGTTCTCCCTCATGCTGCTGAGAGCGGACCTGGACCTGGGCCCAGAGCCCAGAAAGGCCGAAAGAGCAGCCCGAGGATCTGACTCCCTGGAGAAGGTCACGTGAAGAACCTTCTCTAAGAAGACAGCCAACGCCCCACCAGCCAGCTCCACAGCTGCCTGTCCCAGTTCTGAACACTGTGGAATTTCGTTTGGCAGGTCCCCAAGGCAGAAGATAAAAGCAGAAAGCTAACCTAAACCCAGGCTCCCTAAGGAAGCCGACACCTAGAAATGTCCAAGAGGAGGAGTGTGTCCACGGCCCAACAAGGCTTCTGGCTGTCCCTGCAGTCCCAGCTAGGCGGCCGAGAGGCAGGCCTGGTGGACGCTCTGGGCCCAGGTGTTGAGCAGGGCAGTGACCGAGTGCTTGTCGGGGAGCTGCAGCAGCCTCGCGGTCATGCGCCGGTGCACCGATTTCAGGAAGGGGTTGGCCTCTGCAAAAGAGCGGTGGGCCATGAGTGCCGGGCCCGCACCCACCCACGCCACAGCTCCCTGGGAAGGGCAGCCTCAGGAATGGGCTGGCGCACCAGGATGCTGCCTCCTGCACACTGCCCGGCTGCCTGGCTGTCTTCCCACCGCCGTGTTGTCAGTAAAATTGCAATGGGAACTGGATCCAGAGTCCGGGGCTTTCCCTCTGTGACACCCTTGGGGACCCAATCCTGACGCTGCTGTGTGCCAGCTCTAAGCCTCAGGGGGACTGTCCCCTGCCAATAGAGCCATATCGCCCAGATGGGTCCCCGTTAGCCCAAGCTCTGGCAGTGTCCCTGTCCCCCCCGCCCCCCCGCCAAGAACCACAGTGGCCACTGGGGGCAGCTGGATCCGTCCTTGAGCCACGGGCCCGCTTACCCCTTACCCACTGAACACAGCCACCCTGGACAGTTGATCGGCCACAGGACGGAGGGATGAAGGGACATGTAGGGGCAGAGACCCTTCTCTCTCCAGGTGACCGAGCAACCTGTGCTGTCTGAGAGGGGATCCTCAGTCGGGAGTGGGAGGGGCACCAGGCGGTCTCTGGGAAGCCCTGCCTGCCTGGCCCTCAGGGGGCTCCCCTAGGTTCACCCACCGTACTGCCACTGCCGGTCGATCCACAGCGGGCTCTGGGCGGGGTAGTCGGCAGGCACGCTGAGCTCCAGCGGTGGCACACTCGGGAGGTCCTTGTCATCTGCAATATACAAGGCTGTACCTCTGACCTAGACAAGCCCTGGCCTGCCCTGCCCCAGAACAAGACTCTTCACACCTGGAAGGTTCGGCGAGGCTTGCTGCATGACCTATAGGTCCCTCTGACTCTCAGGTTTCCAAAATTGGAACCTGGCGTGCCCTGTGTAGATGGGTACTGGGGTTCTGCCCACTGTCTCCCACATGTACTCAGGGGCTAGGGGCTGGGACACGGCCAGGCTGCCCTGGGCCAGGTGTGTGTGGGGATAGAGACATGAGGGCAGACAGGCAGCCTGGTGAGGCATGAGGGCAGGGGCAGGCTCTGGGGGCTCTGCCCTCTGGCTGGGTGGCAGAGCCCTGGAGCTGCAGTTCAGAGCTTGCTACCCTCCCACGACACTCACCGAGCTTACATATCAGGTGGACGGTGCCGTTGTTGCTGCAGTGAGAAGGGTCCAAGTTCACCAGGAACTTGGGGTCCAGCCTGGCCACCTCCCCCTGAAGCACGTTGGGGATGCTCTGCCGCTCGTCCTCCTCAAGCTTGCGCTTCCGGGTGCAGACCACTGGGGCCCTGAGGAGGCGACGTGGTGACCACACCGGCCACACATGGCCCATGGCCACTGCCCTCCGCAAAGCCCAGCCCCAGCTGTACGTACGTGATGGGTGGGCCGTGGATGGCGGTCATGGCTGGCACAAACGTGCGGTACAGGGAATGGTTGAAGACAGGCGAGCGGATGTTGGCCAGGACGGCATCCAGGAGTGGCTGGCACAGGTACTGCTGTTTGGTCGGTGGCACTGGGGGCGGTGGGGGTGTGGGCTGGAGAGGGGACAGGCGGGGTCAGCGGCCAGCATGGGGCTCCAGGGTGCAACCGTTCTCAGGAGCCTTCCTGCCCCCAAGGCCCTCACCCTCACTCACAGTCAGATGCCTGAGGCTTTTCCCACAGTGTCCACCCATGTGCAGACAGCGCTGGCTGACCCTGGATGCAATCCCCTGCCCCCCAGGGCCACGGGCAGAGGATGGTTTCTCCCAGGTTCCCAGCCCCCACAGCACAGCCGGCCAGGAAGGCTCCTCCCAGCTTGTGCTCCCAGGCACCGTGGGTGAGCCTTGACCTCCCCAGAGCTGCCCGACACTCCACGCACCACCGCCATGTCGTTCTTGAGTTTCTCCAGGGCAATCTCACATTTCTGCAGGGTCTTCAGGGGACACCTACGGGGAGAGGGGTCGTAGGCTAGCCCTAGTGCTGGAGGGCTGAGGCAGCTGGTGGCTCTCAGGCTCGGATCCCAACCACTGCCCACCTGGCCTCCCCTGGGCCTCAGCCATCGGAAACCTCTGCAGGAACCCTAGCCAGTTGGCCAGCTGTCCCCAGACCCAGAGTCTAAGGCAAAGGAGATGCTCACCCCCAAGAGCTGCCTGTTCCTGGCTGGCAGAACAAAGGGACGGACAGGGGCCAGGTCTTGGCCAGGCTGGGAAGGCCAGTCTAGAATTCTAGGCCCGTCCCTGCCCTCCTTGGCCCTAAAATCTCAATGGAGAATCAATCCAAGAGGGCCTAGACGGCCGTGTGGCTCCCAAACTCCCAGTTGGCAGTGACTGGCACTCTACCCAGACAAGCAGAACAGGGAGACCCTTCCAGAAGGGGAGCACAGCCTGAGTCTAGGCGGGGAGATGAGGGAGGCAGTACAAAGGCCCACGCCCGTGCACAGCTCTGAGGTGCTGCCTGAGCGCTGGTGCCCGTAGCTGGCACGCCACCTTCCGCGTGCTTCTCACCAGCACTGCCCTTCATTTCCATGACCAGCACACGCGAGCTCCAAATGGGGTACATGAGACACGGCCGCCTGCCCAGTCACCGGCAAGCTGGGGCAGGACGGAAGGTCAGACTCAGGCCCAGCATGGCCAGCTGAGGTGAGGCTACTGCCAGCCAGGACCTGGCTGCTGGCTAGATAAGGCCTGGCTGTGGCAACTGCAGGTGGAAGCAGGAGGGCCACGCAGTGGCCTAGCGTAGGGCGAAGGCTGGGCGCTGGCCAAGGTGAAGTCCAGGCTGGAAGCTCCGGTGCACACACAGAAGTGGAGCTGCTTGGGTATCTTCGCTAAATCCACATCGTGACCAAGAGCCCATCACGGCTGGGCCAGCCACGCTCTTGGGGACTCTCTGTGGGTGCAGCACTGTCTTTCCCCAGGGCTCTGGGGCAAAGCTCACCGCTTAGAGGGGTCTGTCAGAATGTCCAGAAGGCTCTTCATCTTGCTCAGGTCCTTTTTTCTGTCTGGGACAGAAAAGGGGACACT